TATATATATATATATATATATAACCTTTTCTTTTATTGTTTTTGCTTTTAGTTTAAAGCGATATAAGTTGATATGGGTATGGATTTGAACGGTTGAGCAATTTGCGTCTGAGGTTTTTTATGATTATTTGGTACATAGATGAACAAATAATGCTAGTAGATGAAGAATTTTCAAAACATATCTATCAACATAGTCATAGACAACAAAAATCAAAAGGAACTTCTTTTTACCACTTGGTTTTGCAAGATGAAGACACCACCCCTAACTCATTGTGACAAAAATGAAGTCAGGAAAGAAAAAGTGAGAAATAAATAAGTGGAGTCAAGGAGAAAAGAAATAAAAAAAAAATGAGCCTTTGTGTTAATGAGAGGCTAACAAAACAAAGTTGAGAAAAAAGTCAGGAACAACACTACATAGATGGTAGAAGAGGTAGAACCACAACGGCGCCTAGGTTTTTGCAGAAAAAGAAAGGATTAGGTTACAAATTGATAGAGTAGTATATTTGAAATTAAGCATGGGCTTGGATGATTGGGCCTACAACGATTTAAGGCAGTAACATAAATGACTAAAACTTACGACTTCGATCAAGTTTGGATATCCATGAATTTAAAATCTAAAAGTGAGTTCGTCCAATATTATAACTCGTATAAAATTGTTATTGTTAATAAAAGAAAAAGTTGCAATTAGTGAGAATTTGTTTATATTAAACATATAATGATGGGTTGGTTTTATTGTGTCGCAGGATGGTTCATTCTATTACAATCATTTAAGGCAAAGAACAAATATTTTTAATTATATTGTATACCCTTATAATAATAATCAAATAAATCATCTTACCATACATGTATAAAAAGATATAATTTATGCAATGATGAGGGGTTAAAATCTACAACGACTACTAGAGTATAGTCGTTTTATCAAAATAAATAAAATAATAAATATAAGAGTGTGGTTGGTTGGGAATTGAAATTAATGAAAATAAAGATTAAAAAAGAAATAAAATTGACCAAGTTCAATAGACAAATAATTTGAGTCCAAAGGGATAATTCTAAATAAAAACTTAACAACATGCAAACAAATCGACTAGTCATATAAAATAATAGGGAACAAAAATGAAAGGAATCAAACATTTTATTTATGACTATAAAAAATGTACCATTATCAATACACAATGACATCATAAAGACTAAATTAATATGAATCACATCCTTTTCTTAAACATTTGTATATTGTCTTATATCATCCTTGATGGCAAACTTAGGTGAGGAGGATGAATGTTCTTCACCTTAAGCTTGCTCCAGCCACTTGATCTTCTCCTTGAAGGTTGCTGGACAAAAATTCCAGCTAGGAAGAACCTTGGTGACTTGAAGGAAAAGGAAGAATGAAGAAGAAGGGAGCACCAAAGCAAGGTGAGTAATGGATTAGTCACAAAGGTGGTAAACCTAGAGAAAGTTCAAAGGAACCTAGGCTAGGTGAGAGTGACTTTGAGGAGAGACTTGGCTGAATAATTTTCAGAAATCTCATTAATGATTCAAAGTGTTGAAATGTGAAGAGAAAAGTCAAATTTATAAGCTAAGGAAGCAAGCATAATGATGTCAACTCAAGGAGCAAAATTGGCGCCAAAAATTTGAATTTCAAATGGGATTTGAAATTCAAATTTCTTGGCAGCTCCATGTGCACGTCCAAGAGCTGATTCCATGTGCATTAAGGTTGCATTTAGAGTTAATTTGATGTTGATTTGGGTGGTCCATGTGCAACACCATGTGGGTTAGCCCATGTGCACCAAATGCAACTCAAATTACTCCTAAATGTGACCTTAATTTTAGCTAACTTTGTCTAATTAAAAATTCCCTTCATAATCCTATTCTAATGGCCTAAATACAATGGTCAACCAAATACAATCAAAAGGAAAAATTACAAGAATCAAAATGAGCCCAATATTGGGTATCAAAAGCCCAAAGGCTCATGAAGCCCAAAACTAGGCCCAATAAGCCTATGGCCCAAAATGCTACTCTATATTGTCCAAAATACAAGACCAAAATATATGAAACATATACTAATATAATATATACAAAATATAAGAAAATGGATACATCAAGATATGGCCCATGTGAAGCTCAACTTGGGCCTTCCTAGCCCATCGGGCCCATTGGGCCTTGACTGGCCCAAATCTTCATGTCTATCCCATCCCTCTTGGTTCCTTCAAGGTATCACCTCTTGTTCTCCTAGGCATGATTCCATCAATCCTTTTCCTCATTTACATAATCTTTAGCCATACATTGAGTATTAGAGTCAATTATCTTTAAACCAACATATATTATGCTCATAATAGACACATCTCCTTATTAATGATTAGACTATGTTGGACATGTACAATATATGTTAGTGTTACTCTCCAAATGATATCATTCCTTGGGAAAAAGGAATTACAAGTCTTGAAACATCCAGTAACATCTACCTCTTTTACACAATTCATGGAAAAGAAAGACATTCAAGTAATCAGTCTTTGTGTTCTCCCAAACACAAACAACACAAGATAATTTGAAATATTATCTTGCAAACACAAAAAAAACAACTAGTTTTTCCATAATAATTTTTAAATATATATATATATATATATGAAATAAAACAACCCACTTTGTTAATTTAAAAGAAAATAGAGAAATCAGAACCAATTATCATATAACCCTTAAGCTAACATCAATGAACAATATATGACACACTAAAATTAACATAAAAAAAATCCCTTAACTCCAATCAAACTACCAAAAATGAAACTCAATATTCTAAAATAAGGTTCAAGGCTTTCAAATAAAATAATGCAAAAAGAAGAGAAAATTTACACATGACATGTATTCCATGCATAATAAATACTTAAAACATTTACAAAAGCTTCATTTTCCTTGCTTTTGAAGAAGGTGGTGCTTATTCTTATTCTTGTCTCTATGTAGCAAAGTGAGTATACATGTAAAAGTGATTCTTTTTACCAAGAGGATGAAAAAAGGTAAAATAAAAAAGTTAAATCAAAACTTCAAAATTAATCCCTTGTGTGTAGAAAATTGATAGAAAAATTAATAAAAGTGCTAATTAAGCATATGCATGTCTGTCAAAGTACCAAATAAGCATAAAATGTGTCATGTCAACACTTATGTTAAAGATAACAAAAGTGACTCAACACTTGGACTAACATTGTGACACCTTTTATCTATCAATTATTTATTCATATAATTAAACAAATTTTGAAAATAGAAGAAAAATATGTGATATTTTCAAAACTTTTCTCCAAGTAGTAAAGAACATTATTACAAGTTTTAAAACCAAAATTGATTGGAGACTAAAACAATTATAAGTTCAAAATAAAGTCCAATGCCCTAATGTCACAATCATATCAAAGCATGATCTTCCAAAAATAACCTATCCTCTTATATCAGCATCTAACATAGCCTAACCTATAAATGAAATTCAATCCAAATATAAACAAAGGTAATGAGATTCATCTCACTACATACTCTTGGTGTGAAATGAATGCTGAGCACCAACAAGAATACAAAATAGTATGCATGAGGTGCCATCTAAAATTTCATGCAATGTGTATCTAATCTCTAATGCTAGTATGCATGAGGTGCCATCTAAAATTTCATGATGATGAGTAACCTATGAATATATAACAATTCACGAAAGACTTGACCAAAGGCATCTGGCACTAAACACTTTCAATTAGGGTTATATACCCCAACACCTCGTCTATATTAGAGTCGAGCTAGGTACTCTGACCTTAATATGGGCCAGAATGGAGATCCCAAACCAAGTATACCTTCAAGATCCGTATTCCTTAATATAACCTCCTTAGTCAAGGATTTACTTTCCTACCCTAAAACTCCTTTTGCTTATGATGCATGTACCATACAAGGATGCTTCTTTACAAATTATAATGTCATAACATTATCAATAATTTCATTAACTCATTTACTTGTGTCTCTATTGAACCAAAGGTAATAATATTCGTCTACTTCTCCATTTTTGATAACACCTAGACAATGACTTTGAAAAGACTAATATTTGTTTAAGTCATTACAGGATACTTCCATCCAAGCATATAGAAGGAATGAAGACCAAAAATGTTTTTATAATGAACATCTTCTACAATCACATAAAAATAAACAAGTATAAAGCTTAGTAACTTAGGATAGCTAGCATTTGTGTCCAACGTCCAACACATTATATGATGAGCATCTATGTCTTCCATGTGTTCATAAGTCCAACACTTGTTGAACATCTTTGCACCTTAATACATACTTTCTAACACTCAAAAAGCATATATGATAAATTCTCTTATATT